TTATCCCAACAATAGCAGGAAAATAACCAAGGAAGAGCCTGTAATCTGGGCCTACTTCCTCAGAATAGGTGAGCAAAAGAAAGATGCCACACGTTATACAAAATGAGAACACGGGGAAAGATCATTGAACCTGTCAGAAGTTCCTAAATGGCTATGATAGGGGTCGCAGGATAGCCTTAAAGGTAAAAGCTAGCTCCTCTCTTTGGTCTGGGGAAAACATGCCAGTTTCCCTCCAATAGAAGCTTTGGGGAAGGGAAACCATGAGCCTTGTAAACACTGACTGACTGTGAGGTACAGAACCTTAACTGAGATGATGGAAGCTACAACCTTTGGTTTAAGGGCTGAAAGCACAAATAGATATTTTTAAACTGTGAAAGTGACAGTGTTCCTTTTAGATATTGGGGGAGTAACCTGGATGGGCCTGATTCTATTATGCAAAGGTGGAAACCTCAGGCATTTACCTGTGAGAAGCCTTCTTGTCACAACAAATGTTTCTTGCTGCCAACTGCGTCACATGGAAAGGCTGGTTTTGATACTCTAGGTGGAATCTTTAAAACTGTGCATTCAGATTTTGAGTGCTGCCTGCCAATAGTCTCTTCTTTCGAATAAGTATGTCTATTTTTCTGGCACTAGTTTGCAGAAATCCCAATGGTTGCAAGAACAGAGGAAGCCCCACCCAGCTTGCTGAAGCCCTGAGACCTTCACTGCAGGCACATTGAGAACAGAAGACACAGAAGTACTCAGGCTGTACTTACGAAAAATCAAGACTTACAGACTTTTAAAGAAAAGTTACTTTGCCTTTGAGAAGGGGGAAACCTGAGACAGTGACTGTTGCCTAACCTGGCTGACAATTATATCCCTTAACAAAAAAGTGTTCCTAAGGTCTTTTGGAATTTTAACACTGTAACGATGAAAAAATAAAAAATTCTCTTGAGGGAAACCTGAGGGATATGTCATTATCAAGAACGTGGGCAAAGGGCTCGAACTGTTTTTCCAGAAAGCCTAATAATCAACTAGGCAAATATTGTATCAGCTATCTCACTTCTGTAAAAGATCGAAGAGCTGGAGGCTTCTGTATATCAGGAAAGAGGATCTGGCTAGGTATCATCCCTGATAGGGACAGAGTATTAAAATAGAAAGAGGCAAGAAGATGGGTTTTGCCTCTGGAGCAAGCTGATGTCAGGCTTTTTATCTTAGGTGGAAGAAGTTATAGGCTCCTGGGGCAGAGGAGCCCAGACAAGACTGGAGATGGAAGGTTCATTCAACAAGTGACCTCCTAGAGGTCACCAAGAGGGGAGAAGAGGTGGCCACAGGGTGGGGTGGGGAGTGCAGTCTGAATCCTGAGGAATTTTCCTGGCTGGGGGAGGGAACGTGTTTTAAGGCAAGGAGGGCCAGAAAGGCCGGTGTATGGTCAGAAGGAACCGATTCACCAAGGTGCTCTTGCCTGGAGTTAACATTCTGAGGATTCTAGCAGATCTTAGGCTAATCAAGGGTTTCCCGATTACGCTACAAACGTGAATCATTCAGTCAATATAAAATACAATCTATTAACAGGTTGATGGGAAGAAGAAAGGATAGGGGAGGCAGTGTAATGTCATGGGAAGAACTAAGGCTTTGCAGCCAGACTTAACTGTGTGACCTTGGGCAAGTTACTTAACCCCTCTGAGCTTCCGTCCCTTCATTTATAATATGGGCATAATACTATCTACCTAAAAAGGCTTTAGTGATGATTCAGTGAGAAACATATGTGAAGCAACAAGCACAGTATCTGGAAGCTGTAGGTACTCAACAGGTGTCAGTTTCCTTCCTCTTCTAAGCTGTGCTTTCAAGTCAATTGTATGTCTAGAGTCACACTGTCCAGTACAGTGGCCAGTACTAGCCACATATGGCTCTCAGGTACTTTAAAGAGGGCTAGTCTGAATTCATATGTGCCATACATGTAAAATACTTTAAAGAGGGCTCATCTGAATTGATATATGCCATACATGTAAAATACAAACCAGATTTCTAAAACTTTGTACCAAAAAATACTATAAAATCACTTACTAATAATTTGAGTGATTACATGTTACAATAATATTTTGGATATATTGAGTTAAAATATAAGATTAAAATTAATTCCACCTGTTTCTTTATGTTTGATTCAACATGGCTACTAGAAAATTTAAAATTACAGTGTGGCTCACATTTTATTCTATTGGACATTACTGATCTAGATACTAGAAAAGACAAGGTTGGGAAGCTGTGTTCCAGAAGCACGTTTGTTTCTATATCTTGGGTTTGGGTTTTGGTTTTGGTTTGTTCTCCCACGGTTTCCCAGTAAAAGACCCTTTTGAAAAAAATACTATCCAGGGCTCAACCAAAATGGGTAGAAGATACCCACATGCCCCTAGTTGTCAGGCGCTGTGGTGACCACAGTCCAGGAAAAAGTAGGTAGGGCTGGCATATCAGAGAATGGAGATGTCAGGTAGGACAGTCAGGACAGCTGGGGATGGACTGTTCTTTTCTTAGCCTGAAGCTTCACTTCAGATTTCTCTACCTTTCTTTACCCTGGGAGGATGATCCCATTCTCTATTATTTCAGAAGATTCCCCCACCGTATACACGAACTTGGCAAGAAGCAGGCTCCCACCAGGCAGTAACAAACACAGGTGCAAGAGAAAATGCCACTTCAAAGCCATCTTTAGAAAACCCCAGAGTTTCCAGAGAAATGAACAGCAGACATTCACAGACATAAGAATTTTTTTTTCTCCCGCCCAAGGAGTGTGGTTAGTGGTTGTTTTTAAAACTGTACATTTTACTGTACATTTTTTTTAGCAAAGGAGAAGATTGGCATTTATATTCTGACCACAGGGATGCTGCTTTCCAAAACTCCAAGTCAGAAACATGACAAACACAAGAGCAAGTACATATCATGTCACGACAGAACTCGGAGCCGCTGATGAGAATAGACAGTGAGTTGGTTCCTTCCACTGTTCACCACCTTCCCTCTGTGTGTCTGAATCCAAAGGCAAAAAAGAAAGCTGGTATTTGAGACCACTTCCACAATGGCTATAGTTTGAAAGGATGAATGAGAAAGATGAGGAGGGATAAAAGAGAAGAGGAAAAAACAGGAAGGGAAAAGAGAAAGGGTGGAAGAGACTTCCTTTCAAGTTACCCAATTCTGTGGGTGCTTCTGTGACCATAGAAGGGATGTGCTCCAGCCCTGGGACTGGCCTGGAAAATTGTTATAACTTGAGGTCTCAGGAGGAACTGGCCTGGTCTGTTAATGACCTTGTCAGGACCAGAAAGGGACTGGGAAAGGCAGAGACTAACAGGAAAAAAAAAAAAAAAAAAAAAAAAGAAGAAGAAGAAGAATGAAGAGAAGAGAGGGGAGGGAGAAGTGAGGAAGGAGGAAGGCCTGGGATTTGGAGACTCTGGAACTAGAGCCAAAGGTAATTCTGCATAGACAGTTGCAATCCCTCCTTGTGTGTTCCAGAGTGGGGTTGGGGGGCCAGCAGCTCAGCTCCAGGTCTGAGGCCATTGGAACTTTTTGGCCCAGAATGGTCTTGCCTGTATGCGTTGTGGGCTGTGTGGATGGCAAGTGGAAGAAGGAAGAACAAAAGAGAGAAAATAGAGGTCTATGGAAGGAGTTGGGAGAGGAAAGAATGAGTTGGAGAGACTGAGGGAGAGGTAGTGAGTTGCTGATGAGTAGACACCGGACAGGGATGCAGGGGAAGGTCATTCCAATCTGTCTACAGCAGGTCCTCTGGGGGCACATCTCCTCTTCCCCTTCTCTTGCCACTGTCTGGCAGGGAGGGGTTATCCCTAGATGGAAAGGAGCCTATGCACCCCTCCCATTCCACCCTGTAATTTCCAAGGATGGACCCTCCTCAAGAAACCACGAGCAGGCATCCCCTCATCCCACCTTGAGCCACTTTCTTAAAGAACAAACATGGGGCAGCCTTTGGACACAGAAATGCCCTAGGCAGGGTGAAAACAGGGTCACAGATCCCAAACACCACTGCCAGGAGGCAGGTGGCCTTGACTCCTGCCCTGACCTGGTCATGAACTCACTGTGTGACCTTGGGCAATTCCCTTATGCTCTGGGAAGGGAGAGGGAGGGTTAAAGATGGGATGATTGCAAAGACCTCCCCAAGCTTCAATTATTATTGAAATTCTAAAAAGATTCAACTTCCCCCCTCCAAGGCTTCTAGAATTCTCTGTGCCCAGTAAAAAGGACAGGGACTGCTGTAACCAGCTTGTGCTTCTGGTATCACTAAGCAAAAAGGCCTAACATCTAGAGTCATGAAGAATTAATAGGCCCATAGAACTGGAAAGGGACTGGAGACCTAATACAATCCCAGTATTTTTGCAAAGTGGCAAATTCAGGTACCAACAGATAAATGGGTCTTGCCCCAGTTACTCAGCAGGCTCTTCATGTGACTATGGACACATGAGCTTTGGACTCCAAGTCCACTGCTCTTTCTGCCACCCACACTGCTTTCCTTAAGAGAAGCCCTCCTGGCCTGCCACGTGCTCAAGGGGGACTTTCCATGCCAGCTTCCCAGAAAGAGTGGCAACAAGCCCAAAGCAACTCCGGAAGTTAAGATCCCTTGTGCCCTACAACATGAAGCCCTCCTCCCTCCCCACACATAAGAACCCAGGAAGTTACTCTTCTGGTTCAAACTTCTGTGATGGGTGTGGCATGTCATGTTTGAGAAGCAAAGGAAACTAGGTCAGGTATTAGGGGTCAGTCACTCACCCCTTCCAGTGTCGGGTGTGGGGGTGGTTGGGAGTAATGAGAGCTCTGGGCAGGGAACCCCACAGTCTTCCCCCAAACAAGTGTGGAAACAGAATAATTCCCTCCTCTTGTCAATTGGCAACAATTACCCAGTACCAGGGCTGCTGGGAACACGCATTCATATGTACGATTAACTCTCGATTATCCGTGTGAATGAAGAGGAGGAGTCTGGGAAATGGAAAAAAATAAATTAAGAAATAAAAACAACACTAGACCCATAAGCAATCCAAAGCCGCTTGCTTGTAGGCTACATTTGTGATTAGAAAGGCGGAGTCTCGCCTTTCCAAACACTCAGGGCTCAGTCCGGTATTTGAGCGAGTCCGCATTCCCTGAGCACACCCCGGCCGGGTGGTGGGGAGGTGATATGGGTGTTGGGGGTTGGGAAGGGGGGGACACGAGGCCATTGACAGGGAGACGAAACTGTCCCTGGATGTAAACATCACCATGGAAACTCCACAAACACTTGCCAGTGAGATTCTTTCCCCTTCTTCTCCCACCCTGCGTGCAGGAAAGGGAGCATGCCCACCCCCACCTAGACCGTGCTCTCCATCACCCACTCGGAGCTGCCAAAAGTCCCTCGGGCCCCCACCAGGTCACTCTCCTCGAAGGGCAAGAGCATGCCGTTGACAGAGAGGCTGCGCTTCGTCCAGATGTTCGAGACCCTCCGAGGGGGACTGTAGCCGCCGGGCACTACCCCTCCCGCCGCCGCAGCCGCAAAGTCCCCCATGTCGAAGGAGTGACTGCGTTTGGCCTTGCCCTCCAAGGGCAAGGGGAGCAAGCTCCTGGCCCGGGCCGCGGGCGGCCCCAGCAGTGGCTCTCGGTCCGAGTGGTGGCCCCTGGCTGACGTCCCAGCCCCTCTCCCGGCTGGAGTCCTGGAGTCCAGCAGCTCCTCCTTTCTCTGACTCTTGAGGTCCAGGGAGGCGAAGGCCCCCATCAGGCGGTCAAGGCTGGGCTTGGGGCGCGGGGCGGAGGGTGGGAGCCTCCAGGGGGCCCGTCCCAGCCCCGCGGCCTCCCCACTGCCCAGGGAGCTGGAGGAAGAGGAGTCACTAGCGCGGGCCAGGCTGGCGGTGAAGTCCAGGAGCTCGTTGCGCACCACCACCTTGGGCGGGCCCTGAGGCGGGGCTCCGGCAGACGCGCTGCTTGGAGGCGGTGGCTGGGCGCCGTTGGTCTGCGAGTACACATTGCTGACGGCCGCTGCCATCTTACTGGGGGCCTCGTGGTTGCAGACCTTGTAGCGCACCATGAGGATGACGATGAAGACCAGCAGCGTGGCCACGATGATGCCCCCGATGACCAGGATCATGGTGCCGCCCAGTATCTGGCTGTGCATGGACTGGCACTGCGGGTAGTCAGCCTTGGTGAAGAACTGGGCGCAGCCCACGATGTTGGTGGCTGTGAGTGTTGTGGCTGTGTCATCCCACATGGCCAGCACACACAAGTCGTAGCCGGTCCCAGACACCAGGTTGTTGACCACGAAGGCCTTGTTGGAGGCTGGGATCATCCTGGGGAGGGAGGGGGACACAAAGAGTGAGGGGTGGTGGGGTGGAAGGACAGGGTGAGGGGGAGGGGACAGAGGGAGAAACAGAGTGAAGGGGGAGGGGGAGGGAGGCCAAGACACACACAGGGACACAGAGAATAGGGCAGAGGGAAAGTAAGGGACAGGGGTGAAGAGACACAGAAGAATAGAGATGAAAAGACAGAGGAGAGGGGAGGAGAGAGGGGCGGGGGCAGGCAGGTGACAGGAATAGGGTATAGGAAATGAGAAGAAAGAGATGTGAGGAGGGAGACCCAGACAAGGGAACCAAGGGACAGGTTGGGGTGGAAAGGAAGGTGAGAGAGGGAGATTCAGGGATGGAGCGTCAGGGAGAGGTATAGATGGAGAATGTGTCAGAGACCGGGTGAGAGAACATCCAGATATATGGAAACAAAAACACAAAAAGACAATGAGTATGAAGATGAAGGGAATGAGAAGGGGGGTAGTTGAAAGCAGAGAAAAGGGGAGGCATTTAGAGGTGGAGGGAAAGAGGAGGAGGGGGAGAGACTCAAGCAGAGTTGAGAGGACACACAGGGACAGGCAGAGGGAGAGACAGAGAGGCAGAGAGGTTAAAGTGTGAAGAAGCAGAAATTATACAAAGGGACACCCGCTACCCTCCTCCCTCATACCTGCTACAAGTATTCCCTCCGTCTCTGGGAAGGGCGGGGTGAGAGGTCAGCCCTGACCCTGTGCCAGCCCACTCCAAGGCTCGCTCCAGCCCTCCTGTGACCTCTGAGATTCACAGGGATCCCCATCAACACTTTCTGAGCCTTCTTTCTGGACCAGGTGCTGTGCTGTGTCAGAGACAAGATCCTGCCTGGAGAGGCCAGCACCACCCTCACCTCCAAAGGGCTTTCTCATGACTCAGGAGGGAGAGCATTTGCTGCTGCAGACTGAGGGAGAAGGGGTCTAAGCAGAAGAGGAGTGGAGGCAGGAGAAGGGGGCCTGCCGCTTAGGGGTGGAGGGACAGTGCAGTGTTAAGGACTGGGGGGCACTTCTGCATCCCAGAAGAAAGGGACGATACCTTGGTCCTAATTGTAGTAGCCCAGGCTCAGCCAGGAAACCTAGGGGAAGAGTTTCTTTAGTAGAAGACTTTAACTGCCCCTTCCACCTTAGGGGAGGGTCTGATGGGGAAGCACTCTCCCCACATTGTGGCTGATCCTCTCCTGCCTGGACCTGCTCACTCTGAACTCTAGAATCTTGTGACCTTGTTAAGCCTGGATGCACACCCTGAACTCTAAGACCCTTTTTGAGGTATCATGCCTTCTGCTGATTCCAGAGATGATGCCTGTGTCACTTCCATAAACGCTCCTGAAGAAATACCCAGGCTTGAAGGTACCACTGTGTAGCTTTCTTGGTATTTCCTCCACTCCCATTCTCCTATTCCCTACTACTTGAGAATGAAAGGGCTCTATCAGCTCCCATCAACCCCTCAAACCTAGAGCTGGGCAACTTAATTAAGATATCAAATATGAAATACTGAAGTCTGAAAACTTCCACCTGGGATCCTCACACAGAGGACTGGAACTGACAGGCAGATATTGACATCCCGTCAGTGGGCAACCCCAGTGGCTGCTGCCTCCCTCCTCACCTGCCCACCTGCTCTTTTGCTAGGGAAGCTACACTGGAGGAAATTGAGCCCCCAAGGCCCAACTGATATGGTCTGGCTGTGTCCCCACCCAAATCTCATCTTGAATTGTAGCTCCTACAATTCACGTGTGTTGGAAGGACCTGGTGGGAGGTAATTAAATCATGCGGACGGGTCTTTCCCATGCTATTCTCATGATATTGAATAAATCTCATGAGATCTGATGGTTTTATAAAGGGGAGTTTCCCTGCACAAGCTCTCTTCTCTTGTCTGCCTCCAGGTAAGATATGCCTTTCACATTTTGCCATGATTGTGAGGCCTCCCCAGCTATGTGGAACTGTGAGTCCATTTAACCTTTTTCTTTTTTTTATTTAAATTATCCAGTCTTGTGTACGTCTTTATCAGCGGCGTGAAAATGGACTAATGCACAGCCCCACCCCTAGCACAGTGTTTGGGGCAGAAGAGGCCAGAGGGGTTAGGAGGGGTGGATCCAGCAAGGACCCTGCAGCCAGCCCCACAGGTCTATCTGAAGACTTCAGAGCCAGTTTCACGTGGGCATCATGACAGTCCTGTAAAGGCAGTGATCAGTACTCCCATTTCACAGAGAAGAAATGGCTGAGACTCAGAGAGGGTAAGTGATTTGCCTGAGGTCACAAGCTTGGACTGCTAGTATGCAGCAGTTGAGACTTTTAACACTAGCTTCTGGGTCCATGGTCTGGGCTTGTTCCTCATTATGTGACAGACATGGAAGCATTTTTCCTCATTTCAGTGAAAAGTTCACCCTGGCCTGTAATTGGTCAACCACCTTCATCCCTGGAGCAGCTTAGAGCCTGCTGTGGCTCACGCTCCTCTACTGATAGGATGCCCTGCCTGCTGGGCCATCTGCTGGGCAGGGCCTAAGGAGCCCTGTATGGCCAACGCTGCAGGGGACACTCGAGTCCTCCAGGGCCTCGTTCCTTTCCCCTCAGGGCTAATGATGTAAGTTGAGAAGGCAGGAGCTAAGCACACCCAGAACAGTGACAGCAGCAAGAGCAAACACCAGCCGGTAACTGTGTGCCATGCTCTGTTTTAAGTGCCCTATGCCAACTCACTTAGGCCTACAGCAACTCCCCGACACAGCTGCCATCATAATCCAGATATTTCAGATGGGGAAACAGAGGTGCAGAAGTGTTAAGCAAAGATAACATGGCGGAGCTGGGATTAAATCCCAGGGAGGCCACCTTCAGTCTGCTCTGAACCACCGCATTCCACCATTTTGCTGGGTCGCAGTGATATAAGAGCATGTCCACTTGAGAGGTGGATGGACACCCTTGTTTACTGAATACCTGTTGTGTAACATAGATTTCCACATTCATGATTGCATTAAACACAGCCACCCCAGGACACCAAAGATGTACTACAAGCCCAGAAATCTTCTCAATATTTAGCCACCTTCTCCTGGGAAGTAGACCACACTATTACTACTATTACTACTACTACTAATAGCAACAAAATAAGAAGAACAGCTAACATGAGGGCTTACTCTGTGCCAGGCACCATTGTGAGATATTTAAGGAGATTAAGACTCATTTAATACTCCCTAACATTGTTGGGAGGCAGTTATTGTTATTCTCATTTTCACTTAACGGATAAGAAACTGAAGCACAGAAAGGTTAAGCTACCTGCCCAAGGAGGCCCAGCTAGTAAGTTGGCAGAGTGGGATTCAAATCAGGCAGTTTGGCTCCAGGGCCTCCGCACCTGACCACGGGGCCATGCTGCCTCTCAGACACTGCCCCATCTACCTGCCCTTCCTGGGCAACTTTGTGTGGAAACCTGCCTGGCCTCCCCAACTCCCCTTTGCTCCCAAACTCAGAGAAAATCATAATGTGGTGAAGCCACCTCCTAATGTGATGAAGCTGCAATTGGGCTGTGCTGCTGATGGAGGTGTAACAAGGCAAGGCTGATTCTTGGCGGGCCACTGGCACCTGGATGAAGGGTCAGGTCTGAAACAGTTTTGCACTGTAACTGGCCCATCAGAAACAAGGCCAGCAGGAAAAGCCTGCCAGGATGAAGAGCAGAAAGGCAGAAGGCGGCTCCTGATTCCTCTGCTGTGTGTGTGTGTGTGTGTGTGTGTGTGTGTGTGTGTGGCAGTAGGAGGAGCTGGGGTGACTTAAGGAGAGCCAGAGCCAGCTAACTCAAAACAGCCCAAGCGGGCAAGGTCAAGTTTGCCTTTTCTAATAACAATAATAACCAGTATTCGCCTATTGTGCTGGCATGTTTACACGCCTTATCTCATTTAAGATCCTGACAACCCTCTGAGGAAGTTATTCCCATTTAGAGAAGGAGGAAGCTAAACAGTTTGAACTTTCCCTTGGAGGAATGATGGGGCTGAGACCAGATCAGGTCCACTGGGACCCAGAGCCCACACCTCTTAAAAGCAAGACCACTGCTGCCTCCAGGCAGCCAACAGACAAACTGCATGAGAAAGTCACAGGAAACGGGCACTCCAGTGAAAGATAGAGAATTCATCTCTGACCTGTGTCCCCCTGTCCATCTCATCATCCAACCCTACGAAACCATTCACTGATCCTCCAAGCTGTATCTGGGGAGCCTGGATTTCCCCCTTCACTCCTGCTCACAACCCATCACTCTGGCTGGTAGATTCTACCTTTTGAACACCCTCTGCCTTCCAACTCCACATGCAGTGTTAGCTTAGGGCTCTCCATTTCTGGTCGGGATGGACTCAGCAACCTCCAGTCAGGCTCTCTGCCACAGATTGTGCTCCCTGAAAGTGCATTCTCAGCACCACACCATCTCGAGTGCTCCACCTAAAACACAGCTCTGGCTGTGTCCCCTGCCTGCTGAGATGCTTCCAGTACTGACTACGGTCTACAAGAGACAGTGCAAGCTCTTTAGCTGGGCTCCAAAGCCAGGCTGCTGTCACATTGTTGTCCTTCTACCCACACAGCCTCTAACACTGCCCACATTCTTAAAAACTTGCCCAGGTAGGAAAACACTGCAGAATCAGCCGGGGCCTGAGCGGGCAGATGGCACTTCCTAGAAGGATAATTAAAGACCTTATTTATCAAGGGACTAATTGTAAAGAGGCAAGAGGTTATGGGGGATCACAAGGGAATGTGCAAGAACCCAGAGCTAATAGCAGCCAAGAGCCGAGCTGTTGCCTCTGCCACAGCCCCAGGAGAGAGAAGCACGTAGGCCAGTGCTACTCGTAGTGTGGCTCACAGACGGATGCCGGCCCATGGACAGTTTGTTCCTGCTCCATGATCAGATACTACAGAAGTCAAGAGTAAGCATTAAGGCTTTATAGCAATTTGGCATTGGTTGTCACATTCAAGTGCGTGATGATTATTTCTGATAACTTAGTTCTAGTCTTACAAAAG